CTTGAAAATGCCAAACTGCCTGAATGTGGTGTGAAACTTAATGAATAAATATGGTTATAACTGTGGGTAGAATGTTTTCAAGAAAAAAGAAGCCACATAAATACATGTATTTCCTGAGGTCTGTCTTTTAGTAAAAGCGTTCCTATGCACCGTGCTCAAACGAGTGTCCCTCCTAATGAGAACACTGCCCGTAGTGGACAGAGACTATTAAAAAGAAGGTACTCATTGTAACCTATGATGAAAATCCTTCCTGGTTTAAGAGAAGGATTTTTAAAAGTTGAAAATCTAGGATATAAGGGTGTTACCAGTACTTGAAATGAATGGAGTATGTTTATTATAATGAAAAAATAACTTCTGCAGGTTTTTAGTTGGAAATCATTTCAAACGTACTAAGATTTCTAGGCTACTACAAAGAATTTACCTAAATTCTTGAACTGCTACCATGTTACCACATTGTTTTCATTCTCTCTCTTTCTATATATACATAGTATTTACACTAATGACACCTTAATGAAATAACTAAGCATTTAAAAATAACAGCAAAGAACAAAATGGTGGTAATACATAGGTTAGAGTTTGAACTCTCAATGTAGAATGAAATTTATGATTTGAAATCTATTTCCTCCTGTATTTTATATTTTCTTAGAGATTTTTGCTATAGGGTGAGTGCACTTGCCTGAGGGATAAAGAGAGATAGAGTGTCAGAAAAAGTGAGAAATCACTTCCCAGGGAGGCGGTCATGCTGCAATCCCCTCTCCTCCATTCTCTTCTTGGGATTTTGGGTATGCATGCACATGTGCCCAGCGTGAATTTTGAGCCGGGACTTGAACCGTAGTCAGCCATGTGGAAGTCCAATGCCTAACCACTACACCAGCTGCTTGCCCCTCTTCCTGTATTTTTCTATTCAAACTGACATTGATGATCCTCTTAGTTTTTATGTCAGTGTTAGTGGCAAGTCACAAGGATGTTGGTCATCATTAATTTGAGATGGCACAGGTCATTAATTCAGAACAAATAAGCTAATGTTATTGTATTTGGGGTACTTTCTAATAAAATATCCATGTTTTAGTTTACATATATTTTATTGAGCTTGGAAGAAGGAGTTGTAGATACTTATACTTTTTTTTAACAATTATTTATTTAATTCCATTTATTATTACTATTTCTTTAATTTGACCAGAGAGAGACAGAGATAGAGAGAAAGGGAAAGCAAGAAATCAAGCCACCAGGTCCAGGATCCTAACTGCAGCTGGCCATGTGGGAATCCAGCACCTTTAACCACCATGCCACCTGCTGGCCCCGATACTTATTCTTAAAAACTCTTTACAAACCATAAAGGATTTGATAAATGTATATTTTATTAACAGGTATTGGTTCAAAATGAGAAGGTACTGGGTTGGGAATTCAGAAAGCTTTTCTGTGTATCAGGATGTTGCTCACCTCCAACAATTCCTCCTTTACTACCGTGTCTAAATCTTTACCAGAAATTTTTATGTCAGCTTGTCAATATATGCTGTAACCTCACGTGTAGAAAACTATAGTAATGACATGAATCTATGCCTCTAATTGTATATTTTATTGGAAATTATATATTTTTTTTGGAGAGGTTTTTGCTATAGGGCGCGTGCGCTCACCAGACAGAGAGAGACAGGGAGATAGAAAGCGAGAAATCACCCCCCAGGGGGGATGGCCACACCACAATCCCTTCTCCTCCATTCTCCTCTTGGGATCTTGGGCACGCACGCACACGTGCCTGGCGTGAGTTTAAGCCACTGGGTCCGGGACTCGAACTGCGGTCGACTACGTGGGAGTCCAGCAACATAGCCATTATGCTAACTGCTGGTCCCGAAAATTATATTTTAATCAAATTTAAAAAGTTAGAAATATCAAATTATCAAAAGAAGTACCAGCCAGCATGCGGTGTGATGGTTAAGGTGCTAGGTACCCACATGGTTCTCTGCAGTTCAGTTCTAGACCTGGTGGCTTGAAAATCATGCCGGGTGCATGTGCATGTGTGTGTGTGTGTACTCGGAATCCCAAGAGGAGAATGGAGGAGAAGGGATTGTGGTGTGACCATCCCTCCCGGGGGGCTGATTTGTCACTTTCCTTCTCTGTGTCTCTCTGGGGAATGCACATGCCCTATGGAAAAAAAAAAAAAAGAAATTGAAGACTCCCCATATTATATTAAAGGCACTAGTCAGCTTCATCAGTGAAAGAGAAGTAGAATGTGTGTACAGGGAGGGTGCTGAGTAAGGCACAAGGGACAAGGGACGTGGGACCTCGGAGGGTGCCCGTGAGAATCAGAGGGAATGAGCAACAGGTCTACAGGCCTCTGCGTGTATCTGATCATGGGGGTATCCCATAGTCTGCGTGTGGGAAGTTTAAGGGGTATTTGAATGTGATCTCAATCACCTAAAAGTTGGCTGAGTATTTGTCATATCAAGTGTGTCTTAAGTGTCTCTGGTTGTTTTAATCCTTAAAAAATGCCTATTAAATGGCCATCATTGCTTAGAAAGCTAAAATACAACAAATCTTACCACCATTGTACACAGATGGCTTAATAAGGAAAAAAGATATAAAATTAAAAATTCATGCTTTTAAGCAAGACAATTTGAAGACATTTATAAGGAGTGCACTTTTAAAAGCCCACACTTGTTTTTTAATCAGATGACTGATTCTTTTTTATTTTAACGGGAAGAAAAATGTAAAATGTAGGTGTTATTTATTGGTTTGACTTTTAATCTTTGTAATTGTTACAAATTATGTGTTGGAGCTCACATTCAAAATCTTAAAAGCTTTAAACTTTAGGATGTGAACAGCTGGCGATGAAAGTCAGACCCATGGCTTTGTGAGAGGAGCCAGAGCCATAATTGCAGCTACTGCTTCCATTATGTGCTGTAAATAGTTTCCGATTTACAGAATGATTCTGACTTAATCGTAAACCCACTGGTACATATATCTGTGATGTATGTAGAGGCTCATCATAAACAGAAACAAACGTTAATAGTTCATTATAAAAATAAACTTTATTTATTGCCCGCAGGTGGCATAGAGGTCAAGGCAGCTGGATCCCACATGGCTGACTCTGTGGTTCATTTCCCGGACCCAGAGGTTTGAAAAATCACTCTGGGTACAGTATGTGTGCCCAATATCTCGAAAGGAGAATGGAGAAAAAGGGATTGCAGTGTGGCCCTCCCCCCAGGGGATGATTCCTCACTTTCTCTTTCTCTGTTCTCTGTCTCTCTGGTGAGTGCATGTGCCCTATGGCAAAAATCTAAAAATCAAATAAAAAACTAAATATACAAAACAGAAGAAACTTTAGTTCAAGAGACAGATGTGCTCCTCTGATAAATAAAGGGTGTTTATCCAAAGTATAAACAGGCATATACAGAAGAAGAGTGAGTCTTCAGGATTCTAGAGCAATGCCTTGAGGCAGCAGACACCTGTTCTGGGTGCCCAGTAGCCCTGAAAGACAATGGAATTTAATTCTAATTTATGCCCAGGACTGACCAACCTATGGTTGGCGTATGTTCCCTTTGATTTGAAATTAAACTTCTAGGGAGCAAGATCTCTTTTCTTTTGCAGGTTCCAAATCAAAATATTATATACCACAGTGCAAAAGGACAAAAATGACCACACAGCACCAGCATGAGACTATGTTTGACAAGGGACATGCATTTCTGTGACTCCAGGGACTTCAAACTGTTGAATACACTTAATTTACTCTTTTTATTTTTTTTTTTAAGAGATTTTCACTGTAGGGCGCGTGCGCTTGCCAGACAGACAGAGAGAGACATAGAGACAGAAAGCGAGAAATCACCCCCCAGGGGGGATGGTCACGCTGCAATCCCTTCTCCTCCATTCTCCTCTCGGGATCTTGGGCACGCACGCACACGCACCCGGCGTGAGTTTTAAGCCACCGGGTCCGGGACATGAACCGCGGTCGACTACGTGGGAGTCCAGCGACATAGCCATTACGCTAACTGCTGGTTCCCATTAATTTACTCTTGAGAGATGTGGGAGGAGACATAAGGATAGGAGAGAGAGAGAGACTCAATGTTTTTTAAATTAAATTATTATTATTGTTGTTTAATTTGCTATAGGGCGTGTGTTCTTGGCCCCGGAAGTCAATGTTTGATGAAATAAAATCTTGGTGTACATGAGATAGAACTTTACAAATAGCAATAAAAGTCTTAAATTTATGTCCATCTTTGGCCTAAAAATGTAAAGATCTAAATGTTTTCTTTGTGATCATTATTTTCAAAACATAATTTCAAAATAAACTTTTCAGTAAGCTTACATATTTTGAAAAGGCTCATGTATCTATAATTCATCTCAAATTTAAATGCTAATGTCCATTCTAATCAGTAAACCCAAAACAATACAATATTATTTGAACGAGACAAATGATGTACTGAGTGACATTAACTGCAACTCAGACTTAAAATATTTTAAATAATCTTAGTATTATAGTTTTCCTAAAAGCATCCAAGTCAAAGTCTGATTTTTCTTTAAGGAAGAATATTTTTGAAGCTGAAGCACACATTATGCATTGTACCCTGACAAAATTACTGTTCACGACATTTGCATCAAACCCATTATCTTGTGTTCTGTTGCCTAGTTACCGGAATTCTGAAGTTTAATGCATCTTAGATGGATATTGAAATTTCAAACATATTTTAGCAATGCAGTCTATAGAAAGAGGAACTCTTGGACACATCTGCTTGCTTAAAATTTCAAAGGAAATTTCTTTGTAAGGGCTATCTTTGGAGAAGAGCATACTAACTTTCAAAAGAGGATATTTAACTCCACATATCAGCTCACACCAAACTCATAAGGTTTTTGTTTTTGTTTCTGTTTTTACTATGGACACAGGGAAAAGAAAATCTTTGTCTTTGCAAATGTTTAAAGCTTTACATGTAGTTCAGATCCGGCTTCATTTGTGCAGTTCTGCAGAAACATACGCATGCATACAGCTTTATGGAAAGTACTCGACTTACCTGTTCCCACGCGAACACGTGTTGATTGAAATAATACTGAATTTGTTCATTTGCAATGTTAATGCACAGCTGCTCGAAGGAATTTTTTTTGAAATTTTCAAAGCCAAATATATCAAGAATGCCAATGCTCATCTCATCATCATTCCCACTGGAAGAATCGAAGAGGCAGTATTTTGAGTTCTCATGTATTTCTTTAAGAGGCTGATAAAGCAGGGCACTCAGAGTCCCCCTTTGTGACTGAGCTCAGAGGTCAGTACTAGGACATATGCTTAGTGTGAGATTTTCTTAATTGAAAACAATTTCTCTCTGTAGAACATAAAGATATTGGAGGCAACACTGATTTTAATAGTAAATGAAAAATAATTTTCCTGTACTACAAAAACTACTATTTGCTAACATACTTAAACAAGAGAAACTTTTTTCTTCATGAATTGTAAACACAAAGTTATAGCCTCTGAGTGAGCCAGGAGTCCTAAGGACAATCTATTTATCACTCAGAACACAGCAAAAAATATATTCGATAAAAGCTAAACCAGAAAAGCAACATTTTTCTAAATGAGTATATTTAGTTTTTCATTTTGGGAGAACAATTTTGTAATTTTTTTTTTTTTCGAGAGTGAGATTTTTGGTATAGGGTGTGTGTGCTCACTGGAGGGAGAGAGGGAGAGAGGGAGTTTTTTGTTGTTTTCTTTTTTCTTTTAAGAGATTTTTGCTATAGGGCATGTGCGCTCACCAGAAAGACAGAGACAGAAAGTCAGAAAGTGAAAAAATCACCCTTCAGGGGGGATGTCCACACAGCAATCTCTTCTCCATTCTCCTCTCAGGATTCTGGGCATGCATGCACACACGCTCGGTGTGTTTTAAGCTGCCAGGTCCAGGACTCTGACCACGGTTGACTTCATGGGAGTCCAGCGATGAAGCCATTATACCATTTGCTGGTCCACTGGGAGAACAATTTTTAAAATCTGACTAAAAAGATCTTAATTATTTTAATAACCATTATTTAATTTTTGGATTATTATTTATCATTTTTAAATATAGAATAATTGGTGACCTAGAGAAAAATATACATTTATAGGGATTTATTTCATAATTAAATATGTTAAACTCTAGTAAATACTATTTTCAACAAATACTTCAATATTTCATTTTTTTCTCCTAGTCCATGTGATTACCCCTGTTCACTAAACAGTGGATGCTTGTTCAAAAAGTTAGCTCCTCCTCTGAGAAATGTATCCATTGCAAAGTTGCTTTCATGTGAATTTAAAAAGGGAAGTACACAGGCTGCTCTGTGCTTACTCTCTATGTAATCCTGGCTGTGCTTGGTGTGGCGTGAGCAGGTGATTTGGAAAGAGCTGGTGACCACGCCGTGAGCTGAACGAGCTGCTCTCATTTGGAGCAAGTGTCTGAATTCAGAGTGCAGTGACGGAGTACCTTCCATACGTGACGGCTTTCCTCACAAAAGGAAAGCTACCCAAGAATTTCTAAGAGTTCCTATTTTAAATAGTGAGTGTATTTCTATGTGGCTATAGGAAGCAAGATGTCTAGTTAAAACTGATCCTTAGAAAGGATATAGTTCAGGGATTCTTAAAGTGGGATCTGCTAATAGTCTTCCATAGGTCTGGAATCAAAACTGTGTGCAATATTTTAATGAGTGTGTATAAATACATCGATTTTTATTTTTTTGAGGGAAGAACATAGACAGTTTTCAAGAAGTTCTGTTTTCTTCTTTTCCTTTAAAGAGAGAGATGGAGAGAGGGAGAGAGAAATAAAGAGACAGAGACAGACAGTTTTTAAAAGAATTATTTATTTAATTTTATTAATTATTATTATTATTATTTAATTTGCTACTAGGCACATGTGCTTGAGAATGAGAGCAAGGGAGAGAGAGAGAAAGCAAGCTGCCAGGTCTGAAACTTGAACCACGGCCACATGGGAGTCCAGTGCCTTAACCACCATGCCGCCTGCTGGCCCAAGATGGGCATTTTTGATGGGGCCTCTCTGTGTGACAATCCTCCCATCCTGGCCTAATTAGTCAGGATCTCAGATACCTGTAACAGCACCTTCGTTGTTCGGGTTGGTCTGGGAACCAACCTTGGGCTTTGCATGAGTTCTTATAAGGCTCCAAGATACCCCATGATTAAGGTCACTAACTGGTTATTCAATGGTCTTATTTAATAGCTGAAGATAAGAGACGCAGAACAATGTAGTAACTTGTCCAATGTCACACAAGTTAGTGGCAAAGCCTGGCTAGAAGACAAGCTCTCTAAAATCTGAACTGAACACAGTATTTTAACTGGTTTTGCTTTGGTTTTTAAAACTTTTTGTAAACTATTTTAAAATCTAAGATTTGGAGAGTTTTCATTAATGTATGAAAGGGAAAGTTACCATTTAGCAGGTAGGTTACAATGGAATTTTCAGCAGACTACCCTTCTAAATATCATTTAGTGCAAAACATGCAGATAACTAACAAGATTAGGTCAAATCTCTAAATACCTTGTTTATATTATGTGGACTATACAAATACTGAAAAAAATCACTGAATTTTTCTATTTTCATATGAACGATTAACATTATATAGAAGATGATCCATGAGCATATGAACCTTTTTGGCCACTAAATCAAGTTTGCAAATTGGATCGTGATTGCAGACTTGGCCATGGTAGGATATAATTCACTAGGGAGGTACAGAGCGATTTTGAGGTACAAAGAGTTAAGAATGTGGAGGAATAATGAATAATCTCTTCACACAGTTTGACTGGATAATATTATGGTGTGGTGTATATTTCAGCAGAAAAATAATGATGAATTGCATACTTGAAGTGTGTACCAAATGGCCTTTGCTGCTTAGCAAGCAGGTGTAATTGGGGATCTTAAGGTAGGCTCCATTATGTTTTTCTACATGCAAAATTTCTAAAGACCATATGATTTACCACAGACCAAGCCTTAGATGTAAATGGAAGGACTCATATCTACACACAATCCCTGGCATATGGAGAGCAATCGATGGGGGCTGTGCTACCCTTATTTCTAAGCTAAGGTACTAGGAAGAGTGTAGACTTATGGTCAGATAACAAAGGTGCTCTTTTTCTATTGGGTTGTCAGAAAAGTCATGACACAGTTTTCTATGCAAAAATGCATCATGACTTTTCCAACAACCCAATAATTATCTAGTTTGTTTGTTTGCTTATTTATTTATTTATTTTTGAGAGAGATTTTTGCGATAGGGTGTGTACATTTTCCTGAGAGATAGACAGAAAGTGAGAAATCACCCCTTAGGGGGGGACAGCCATGCCACAGTCCCTTCTCCTTCATCCTCCTCTTGGGATATATATATATATATATTTTTTGGAGAGATTTTCGCTATAGGGCGCGTGTGCTTGCCAGACAGACAGAGACATAGAGACAGAAAGCGAGAAATCACCCCCCAGGGGGAATGGTCACACCGCAATCCCTTCTTCTCCATTCTCCTCTGGGGATCTTGGGCACGCACGCACACGCACCCGGCGTGAGTTTTAAGCCTCCGGGACGCGAACCGCCGTCGACTACGTGGGAGTCCAGCGACATAGCCATTATGCTAACTGCTGGTTCCCCTACTCTTGGTATTTTGGGCACACAGGCCCGGTGTGAGGGTTTTTTTTTTTTTTTTTTTTGAGAGATTTTTGCTATAGGGCACCTGAGTTCACCAGAGAGACAGAGAGAGACAGAGAAACAGAAAGTGGGAAATCACCTTCTGTGGAGGATGGCCATGCTGCAATCCTTTCTCCTCCATTCTCCTCTTAGGATCTTAGGTGGTACACACACACGTGCGTGGCATGAGTTTTAAGCCACCTGATCTGGGACTTGAAATGCGATCTACTACATGGAAGTCCAGTGATGTAACCATAATGCCATTTGCTGGTTCTAGTGCATTTTTTGACTCAAAGTTCACAGGGTTACAGTAAGAGTTAAAATATGAAAAGAAAAGTTTTCCTTTGCCTTAAACCCTCAAAGCAAAAACAAAGAATTCCTCAATTGACATTTTATATAAACATAAAATATTTCATGGTATACCTTCTAATCAAAATAACATATTAATTGACAGAAAGATATTTTACTTAAAAAATCACGATTGTGACTAATCATGTTGCTTCTGCATTTTGCTGCAGAAATATAAAACGTTTATGGTTATATGAATAATGAGGTGTTACTATTAAGAAATGAAGCACATCTACTGAAATTTAACTTTGATAATTCAATCACACCAATTAGAAACATCTTCAAAGGAACTCAAGAAAATCAACAAATTAAATAAAATTTAAAAATAGATTTACATCACCTAGCAGTGGGAAAAATTGTTCCTATGAAAATATTTACCTCGATAATGTATTGTGCTTTAACAAGCTGTTAATGCAATTGACTATCCAACTGAAGAGACGTCCGTATAAAGTTTTAGCCATAGCATCTCTGACATCGGTAGCTCTTTCTACAGTATTGGGTCGTATAATTGTTTCTCCTCTAGTGACCACACAGTGGGAGGTAAGAGCGTCTTGTAGCTCATCTGCCTGAATGCAAAGCAGAGAAGCAGCTGAAAAGTAAACAAATACACTGTTAGAAGAAAAAATGACAGTGAGGTCACTTCCAGAAAATGAAAATATCTTAGTTCATATCCTTTAAATGACATGTAATAAATAGGTGAAGGCTTTATGATGAAAAGATAAGTTACTGTTCAACATTAGAACTATGTCTCCTGGCCAATTTTGCCTACTTACCTTCATAATGCAATACTACCCAAACCAAAGTAGCCAACAGTGGAACTGCTACACAAGAGAATGAGTGCTTAAGTGATGTCAAATACAATTTCACTGAGTGATGCCAAATCATTGAAAAGCATAATGAATGAATTTGATGTAATATGGATATCATTGCTACACACATATTTTCAGCATTTAGATATTAACTGGAAGATTACTTAGAGTGCTGAAGTATATCCAAACAAATGTATCTGAAACACCTTCTATGATTTACCTTGACATCCATGTGTTTATCAAATAACTTTTTAGTTTCTTTTTAAAATTGCCAAATTTTGTTAAAATTTGATGCCTACACAAATGTTTTATCTTAATGTAAAGCCTTAAGAATTTCTCATCTGTTGCATATTATTTGTAAATATGGTTTCAATTCACTGCGTATATAATATCAACAATTTTCTCTCTTTTTTTTTTTTTTTTTTTGGAGAGGTTTTTGTTATAGGGCATGTGCACTCGCCAGACAGTCAGAGAGAGACATAGAGACAGAAAGTGAGAAATCACCCCCCAAAGGGGATGGCCACGCCACAATCCCTTCTCCTCCGTTCTCCTCTCGGGATCTTGGGCACGCACGCACACGTGCCCGGCATGAGTTTTAAGCCACTGGGTCCGGGATGCGAACCACGGTTGACTATGTGGGAGCCCAGCGACATAGCCATTACGCTAACTGCTGGTTCCCAATATCAACAATTTTCAAGTTGCTGAATGTTTAGGTTGCTTTCATATGTTCATAATTGTAAAAAAATATACTGGGATAAATATTCAGGGCATGAATACATATTCATATTTCACATTTTTGTAGCATAGATGGCCTAAATTCAATCGGTCCAAAGATTACAATATATTTAATTTTTTTATATACACACTATAACTGCTCTTCCAAAAATCTGAACCAATTATACTCCTATTGGTTAAATGGAAGATGAGTAATTTCAATATAATTTCATAGATGTCAGGGATTATTCTTTTTAAAAATGGCCAATTTGAAGGACCAACAGTTGGCATAATGGCTATGTCGCTGGATTCCCATATGGTCGACTGCAGTTCGAGTCCCGGACCCCATGGCTTAAATTCATGCTGGGCACATGTGTGTACGTGCCCAAGATCCCGAGTGGAGAATGAAAATGATGGGATTGTGGCATGGCTATTCCCCTTGAGGGGTGATTTCTCGCTTTCTGTCTGTCTCTCTCTGTCTGTCTGGTGAGCACATGCGCCCTATAGCAAAAACCATTCCAAAAAAAAAAAAAAGTGAAAAAATGGCCAATTTGGGACCAGCAGTCAGCATAATGGCTTAGTTGCTGGATCCCATGTAGTTGACTGCAGTTCGAGTCCCGGACCTGGTGGCTTAAACTCATGCCGGGTGCATGTGCGTGTGTGCCCAAGATCCCGAGAGGAGAATGGAGGAGAAGGGATTGTGGTGTGGCCATCCCCCTGGGGGGTGATTTCTCACTTTCTGTCTCTCTGTCTCTCTGGCGAGCACACGCGCCCTATAGCAAAAAACCTCTCTCCCCCCCAAAAATGGCTTTGTCTTTAATTGATTTCTAATGATGCTGAGCACTTTCATCTTTCATATTTTTATTGGTAATTTATGGTTTTTATTTTGTAAGTTGCATTTTTTTATTGATTTGTTCATCTTTTTCTAAACAATGTATAAGAATTCTCTATAGCTTAAAGAGAATAGGATTTTGATATAGCTGTTGCAAATATTTCTCTCATCTTTCATTTGCATTAAAATTTAATTAATTATATTTTTTAAGTATAAAAGAGTTCTACTTTTATGTAGTCAAATATACTATTTTTTTTTAAAAGAAAATCATGTCTGGTTTTGATTTTTCTGAACATAAACCTTGTTAAGTCCTTTCTTACCACAGGATTATATAAATGTACTTCAATTGGTATTTTTATGATTTTTCTTTTTGCAATTTTTTTTAGGTTTTCTCTTTTTTCTCTCTCTCTCCCTCGTGCTATAAGGAGTGTGCACTCATGAAAGAGAGAGAGAAAGGAAGAGAAAAAGTGAGAAATCACACCCCAGGGGTGGGGGGTGGACATGTGGCAATCCCTTCGTCTCCGTTATCCTGTCAGGATTCTTGGCATGCGTACATATGCATTCAACATGATTTTCAAGCCTCAGGGTCCAGGACACAAACCTGCAAAGTTGGCCATGTGGGACCAAGCACCTTAACCTCCATGCTGCCTGCTGGCCCTTTTTATGCATTTAAATATATGCTATTTGAATTCATTTTGGTATCTGGTGTATGAAAAGGATTTAAATTACCCCTCCTCTAAATGGTGACCCGGTTGGCTGTCTCTAAAAACCAATTCCCTAATAATTTGAAATGTCTTTTTTCATCCTTTTACTTGAATCTGTTTCTGAACAGTGTTTCTCACTGTATGTCTATTTCCATTTCCACTTCTATTAATTTCACACATATTTATTGAATGTCTGCTACTTACCATTTACCTGGGGATATACTGTAAGGCACAGTACTTTGTAAAATAAGGCTCTAGTCTTGATGGTCTTTATCCAGGAGGAATGAGAAGCTGATCAAAAAACTTAAGTGGGAAGGGTGAGGGGAATAGAGGAGAAGTAGGAGAGGGAAGAGGAAGAGGAGTAGTAGGAGGAGGAGACTGAGTAAGGCCAGTGATCCATGTGCTACGTATGACACAAAAAGACACAAAAACGAGCAATTCTTAATGTTGAAAGAACTGGGAGGTCACTTAGCTCAGGTGAGAGGTGGTAATGTCCTTGATGGAAATGGTGATGATGGTGATGGAGAGAAATGATCAGGTGTGAGGGACATTCATGGGGTGAAATGGACAGCACCTGATGAAACAACGCAGTTGTAAAACCATCTGGGACATCAGCCTTGGTTTGGAGATTATTCCTTGTAACCTTGAATTATATTGGGTCATTGGAAAAGTCATGGCACATTTCTGCCTAGAAAACATACCTCATAACTTTTCTGATGACCCAAGGAGCCATTTTGTTGAAAATGAACAGAATTTCTATTTTCCTCAGATGACTATTTCGAAAGTACTTTAATTCATTTAAATGATGTCAATGTATAATTTATCCCTTTTTTTAATCCCCTGTCTGATTGTCTCCTGCTCTACAGAAATAGGTTCGTAGTCATAACTCATCGCTCCGTTTGGCTGTTTCTAACTATACTCTGATCTACATCCGCTCTTCAATGCAACTCATTCTGTCAGCTGCTGCTAACTTTTCTAGCAATAGCTAGACAGTGAGATTCGAATTTTATCAGATAGCATTGTCTGGTTATTCCTTCACTCCTGATAACTCAGTGTCTTGTGTGTCAATTCCACGTTTTGTGTGTAGGAGGTCAGAACATGTGTACTCGAAGTTTCCAGGCACATGCCAACTGCAGACTCTTGTTCTGCTGCATCTCTGTGCCAATCCCAGAGATACAGTGGGGCAGACGATAGTCTGGAGGAGGATGAGCTGGCATTTGGTTTTCTGAAATTACCCTACAACATCTCATTCTGTCTCTGAACAAGTATAAATTAGGAAAAAGACACACATAAAAAAATGTCTATCATGAGTCTCTAGGTTATAGATGAAACTTAGAGCAAATCAGAATTTATGAGACATATGCCTTAAAAATAAAAGAATAGTATATCTTCTAATAGAAAAAAGCCGTGCCACTGGAAGTGAGAAACCTTAATTGCTGGAATAATCCAGCACTTCACTACGAAGAGAAAACGTGATTTGAAGCAAATACGATGATGTGGTTCTTTGTGGTAGAAAATGACTACAAGAGTAATCACCCCAGGCTGAATGGGTGTACAAAATCTAACCAGTATGAAAACAGACAGGCCTTTATTACTTGCAAAATGATGCAGATGTTCCATGTACAAGATAACAACTTTATTTTTTTAGATCAGTTTACTAAATTTTCACCCTCCTATCTGTGTTTTACATCAAAATATATAAGTAGCTCCTAAAACAGTCTTTATAACTAGTCTTTAGAAACATTTTCTACACTAATCAGTTAATTTGCAGGCATGAAAATCTGTTTTAAACAGTGGACTTTTAAACATTTTGCACAAATTGAATCTGAGTATTATTTTAGGGATTCCAGGTAAATACAATTGTTTGAAATTATCCTTATGTGACACAAAGTTAAAAGACTCTGAAACAGCTCAGTTTTAAATGGAAGATAATAAAACTCACAGTTCTCCAGAGCTGCACGATCGGAAATGTGGCTCTTATCAATCTGATGTTCAGATGCCACGGAAGAAAACTCGATGTTTCCAACATTCAAGATTGCAGCGAGTATACTGTACACACTTCCGAGTTGCTGAAACATACCACAGAGACATTGCCATCACTCTCCCCCTCAGTACAGCAAGGCGCTGACCACAGCTGGGGGCAGACTGGGAAGAACCCTTGGGCTCCAACGTGAGGTCATCCCACAGAGCACAATGTTAGGCTGAGACCCAGGTCAGCGAGGTCCCAGGGAGGCTTGATGTTGTTACTTATTTCAACTTTAGAGGTGAGCCCAATGTCTATTACCCTAATGAGTGCTTTAAAATATTTTATGAATGAAAATACAAATTAAGAAGTAGCAACAAAGAGCTTGCCTTAGAGGTGATAGAAATACTGGGTCACTGAAAAGTCAAGATGAATTTTTACACAGAAAAACAGACAACTATATTATGACTTTTCCAATGACCCAATATTTCATTTATTAGGTCACAGGTAGATCTGTCCACATGAAATTGAACTGCAGGCTTTAGAGTGCTTGTTATCGTATGTACATTTTCCTAAGTCTATCTTCAAAGCCGTGGGGGTGTGGGTAGTAGGGCACTGCCCTGTGGTGTTGGAACCATTTGGAAGATGGGCTGGATCTGGTTGACCTGGACACAAGTGTGTGCTCATGATCCTGGCTGACCTGAACAAAAGTGTATATCCACGGTCCTGGCTGGCTAGGAGGCTGGGGGAGGATTGCAGTATGAGACCTATTGAGGGTACCTGGCTCTCCCTCTTATGAAAAAAATAAAATATAATAAATTTTAAAAAAATTTAAAGAGAGAGACCAGCAGTTAGCGTAATGGCTATGTCGCTGGACTCCCATGTAGTCAACTGCGGTTCGAGTCCTGGACCCGGTGGCTTAAACTCACGCTGGGCGTGTGTGTGTGCATGCCCAAGATCCCAAGAGGACAATGGAGGAGGAGGGATTGTGGCGTGGTCATCCCCCCTGAAGGGTGATTTCTCGCTTTCTGTCTCTCTGTCTCTGTCTGTCTGGCAAGTGTACGTGCCCTATAGCAAAAACCTATCCAAAAAAAGAAAAAAAATGTAAAGAGAGGCAATATGTGTGGATAAAGTAGAATAAAAAACAAAGAAACAAAACAAAACAAAACAAAACAAACAAACAAAAAAACCCCAAAAGATCCCAGAACCAAAATAAAAGATACATGTAGTTTAAGTATACAGTGAGAACTGCTTTTGTTGAGATTTTTGCCAAAGGGTACATGTGTTCACTATGGGGGCAGCGGGGAGAGAAATCACCCCCACAGAGGATGGCCATGCTTCAGTCCCTTCTCCCTCATTCTCTTAGAAGTTTTGGCACGCACGCACGCACATGTGCCTGGTGTGTTTTTCAAGCCACTGGATCCAAGACTCAAATTGTGGAGTAGGCCAGTGGGATTTAGCACCTTAACCACCATGTCATCTTCTAGTCCATAGGCTGAGAGCTTTTTAAAAAGATTTTATGCTAGAAAGTATGTGCACATGCATGAGAAAGCGGGGACCGAGGGGGAGGAGAGAGAGCGAGCCTGGTCACGCTCTTTCCTCCAGTTCTCCATCACATCAGCAGTCTGCGCACGCACAGGCACCAGCAGTGTTTTTCAGGCCAATGGGGCTGGGACTTGAACCATGGTCAGTCCTGTGAGATCTGACTTCCTCCGCAAAATATTTAACCACTGTGCTATGAAGGCCTGTGCACTTCAGACCACAGCTTAGAGTTTATAGTAGTTATTACTTCCTAAACATACATTCCTAACTTAGTACATCAAACACGTGTTCAGAAACACGTATACACATGTTGATGACTCTTCTCGGAGCACTGGAGGTGTTCTGTGATAGAGTCAGGTAATTCTAGGCACTACCCCAGCTTCCTCCTTCCTCACCGTTCATTGTGTGGTGAGGTGCAGGAGAGAGACAAAATACTTTATTTATTTATTTTTCAAGTTGCTTCATTTATTCTAGTCCAAATCCTAGACTTAACAAATTTCCAACTTTCCAAGGCAAGATAAAAACTGAGGATGAAAGAAAATCTTTAGGCATATTTTATTTATGTATAACACATACAAATATATATCTAAAAATACATATATTTACACACTAAACATGAATATACATGTAATGGCTATTCAGGTATACAGGAAACATCTAATAAGCATGTGATTTCATTAATTTCAGGTAGAAAAATTAATACAGTATCTGAGATTTGCCATATTTTTCTTCAGAAACTATAGGCCTTATGGATAATCTATACCAGGCATATTCCTCTCAATAGAATGAACTATGTTCTTTTTTTTTTTTTTGGAGAGGGTTTTGCTATAGGGCACATGTGCTCTTCAGAAAGACAGAGAGAGACAGAGAGAAAGCGAGAAATCCCCCCCCAGGGGGGATGACCACGCTGCAATTCCTTCTCCTCCATTCTCCTCTCGGTATCTTGGGCACGCATGCACATGCGCCTGGCATGAGTTTAAGCCACCGGGTCCAGGACTCGAACAGTGGTCGGCTACATGGGAGTTCAGCGACATAGCCATTATGCTAACTGCTGGTCCCAAAATGAACTATGTTCTTTCAAAACTTTGTGCATTTATCAGTTACAGTACACAAAGGTCAGGTGTATGAGCTTCCAGAGTTGTATTTTTAAAAACATTTAATGCTATACAAAATCATAAGCTGAATCAATGGACAGTTGATTCTTACTCAATTGCTCCTGAGATTGACTGCATGATCTTTCCAGACTGTGGGGCTCTCCCTGATACTCTATAATTACACCATTCATTTGGAATAAAGCAGGAGGCTCAGAAGACAGCAAACCAGGGCAGGGAGAGTGATGGGCCTCAAAGGAGCCTGATGTCATGCATGGGCACAGTCTTGACCGAGGAAACGGTCACTCATGCTATGACGATTCTTCATCTCTGTTACTGGAGAACCCCAAATAACTCAAAGTAATTTTGTGTTTGATAGTTAACAATAATAAGTGAAATAATATTTTTTCATCAAGCACAAAATAAAAGGTTTTCCAGAGTCAGACTTCCACTGATCTGATGCATCAGGCTCCAACACGGCTGCTCCTGACATACCTACTCTGCTTTCGCACTTGAACGCTGCGCTGATCTGGGAAGCTGACGGCAGCCCCACTTGTGTGTGAGGGCAATGTCACCTCTCTCTATCCTGAGTTAATCTGTCCACGGTGAGATGATGTAGTCAGGGAGAGTTTTTCTCCTCTAAAGTCCTACTGTACTGTGCCTCCTATTCAACCACCTATCCATCCATTAGACCCTCCTTTGTTTAATATTTATCAAGCACTCTGTGAGGTATTGTGATAAATCAATCGATAAGCATAGTTCCTGCTCTCAAGAACTTCACAGGCTCATGGAACCAAATGGTATGGGTCATTTTCTACACTGGATTTCTATATAGATCATCTCTTTATATTTTCACTTTCTATATTCTACTATGGCTTTTTAATTAAGAAATTTTAACTTTTTAGAGCAGTTTAGGTTACTAGCAAAGCTGAGTGGATAGTATAGGGTTCTCATATACCTCTTGTCTCACGCAAGCACAATCCCCCCCTTCCAATATCTTGCACCTATGTTGCTAGAATCAATGAATCTATGTTGACACGTCATTATCACCCAAAGTCCAGAGTTGTATTAGGAGTCACTCCTGGTGTTGCACATTCTTTGAGTGTTACAAATGCATAATGACAAGTACCCATTATTGCAGTAGCCTACATAATGATTTCAGTGTCCTCTGTGCTCTGTCTATTCATCCTTCCTCCCCTCCTGACCTCTGACAACCACAAATCTTTTTGCTTTCTCCAGTTTTTGCCATTTTTTGCCTTTTAGGGATGTCACATCACTGGAATCGTATGGTATGTAGCCTTTTCAGATTCAATTCTTTCACTTAGGAAAATGCATGTCAGGTTTGACAGTGCATTTCTTTTTAGTGCTGAAAAATATTCCATTGTCTAGATGTACCATAGTTTATTTTTCCACCCACCTACTGAAAGACACTTTGGTTGCTTCTGAGTTTTGGCAACTGTGAATAAAGCCACTGTAAACATGGTATGTTGGTTTCTGTGCAGACATACATTTTCAACTTATTTGGGCATATGCCAAGGAATGTGACTGCTGGATCACATGGCAAAACTATGTTTAGTTTTGTAAGAAATTGCTCAACTGTCTTCCGCAGTGGCTGTCCCACTTTGCATTCCTACCAGTAATGTGTGAGAGTTTCTGTTGCTCTATTTCCACACAAGCACTTGATGTTCTCAGTGTTTTGGATTTGGGCCATTAAAATAAGTGTGCAATGGTATTTCTTTGTTGTTACAGGTTTTATGTAAAAATACAACATACCTGGTTGCAGGACTGAGACACACTAAAGATGTGGATCTGTGACTGCGTCTACATCCCATTTAGCATCGAGCCCACCACCTTCCACCAGCAAGCAATAGTTAACAGTTTATGTAGTGAGAGAATACATGTACTTTTTGAAATAGGTGTAAAAACCCTGATGGTGAGAAGGTCTCACCAGCAAGCAATAGTTAACAGTTTACGTAGTGAGAGAATACACGTACTTTTTGAGATAGGTGTAAAAACCCTGATGGTGAGAAGGTCAGGAAAAATAGACTAATGCATCAGCCTGTGGCTCTTTATACACTGTACGATGTATCTGATTTATAAGACAGTGTTCCAAAAGGTTCTGTGTAAGTGATTTTGTTTGGGATATGGAACATAGAGCTACAGTGCAAAGCACCTTACTCCTTGATGGCTTTGCAAGCATTCAATGTGTAACTTTCTTAAAAAGAAAAATGGAACATTTCTGTAAATAAGCCCACCATGACCTATAATCTAACCAAAATATTGCACTTTTGTAATAAAAAAGCAGAAAATAATATTAACATTTTTTCTAAAAAAGGGGTGCAGGGGGCATGAAGTTTAAGGTGCTGGATCCCACATTGCTGGCTCCACAGTTTGAGCCCCAGACATGGTGGCTTGAAAATCATGCCAGGAGCATGTGCATGCATGCCCAAAATCTCAAGAGGAGAATAGAGAA